TGAGTTGGTTATCTTGGTCGGTTACAAAAAGCTTCGGCTCGCTAGCAATTAATGTGGGCCATACAACTTCACGCAGCTTTTGGGCCATCCAAAGGTACGACGGTTCCTTCTCGTTTGCCATCAACACCGAAGCAACAACAAATGTGCGGAGTCGAGTAGTTCCCAGGTTACTGACACCAACAATGTGGACAAACGGCATGTTGTGAAGATTGGTCTTGTATGTGGAGTCAATAAGCACCACTTCTGAAAATCGCCTTGCCATTACAATCGAGTCCGGGTGCACTACAAAAAGTGCCTTGAGAGTGCCTGTTGACGCCGTCACATCATAATGAATGATATAATTTTCGGCTTTCAGAAAGTCCAGCAACGGAGTAAATTCGCTAGATGCTCCTAAAGTACCAGTGGTCTTGTAATAAAAGTTTTGCACATCCTTGGTCGTCATTACAAATCCATCATGCTTTTTATCAATGATATGCACAACTTCAGGTGCTGGGACGTTACGGCTCATAGATGATAGGGTTCGGACTACGGGTTCGGTGGGTTTACGATGCTGATGATACACCTTGGACAGAGCCTTGACGTCTTGGACAAGTGGATGGTTGTGGTGCACCACGTCACTGGAGTCTTCAGTTGGGACAGTGGTCTTGCCTTTCTTGATACTGTATTTCTCTCCAGAGTGGATACGTACATATCGAACTTCCCATTGTGGTTCTTGGCCCGGGTCTTGGGACTTCTTTGGCAGCGAGACGGTTACACGCCAACAACAGCCTGTCTTCTTGGTACTCTTGTTGCGCTGACGTTGATCGCCTCGTTCATCGATATACTCCCCTTTACACGTGCACTGACAGTAAACCGTATCTCTAAGACCGTTGATGCTGAAATTGACAGCAAAACCATGTGTCTTGGCGTACATTTGAACGTCCACCTGGATTTTCTCGTAGCTGAAATATCTTCTGCCGATAAGCTCACTCATTCGGATTTGATAGTATTTTGGAAGTATAAAGAAGTGATAGAATAAAAGAAAAGAAAGAAGAGGGCAATGTAAATATTCAAACGACTCGACAGTATATATAACGTCTATTCCCCACGGCCCGGCGGAGAGAAACTTTTAACATTTTCTTAAAACACATGCTTCTGAATATAATATCAAGTAGCAAACCATGTGACATTTATTAGTCATATAGTAAAGTGTCACGGTGCGTTAAATATATGATTCAGCAAACAGAGTACACAACATAAAGTAAGTTATGTAGTGTGCTATTCTATAATATTGTTACTGTAATGAAGTAGTAAAGGAGTACTTAAACTTACTATTACTTCCACTAAATATGTTAGATCAAAATCTTTTTACATTTGAAGAGCATATAGTACTCGAAAGTACAGTAAGCAACTATCTTATGAGACTTCCACTTCCTGTGGAGCTGTTGAACGGTTTTCAAATAACAAATAACCCACTGTAACCAGAATAGAGAAAACTCGTACGCGTAAGCAGATAACTGTCAAAACACATCCCAGCTACTTATGATTCACGTGGAACCAGAATAGAAAAAACTCGTACGCGTAAGCAGATAACTGTCAAAACACATCCCAGCTACTTATGATTCACGTGGAACCAGAATAGAAAAAACTCGTACGCGTAAGCAGACAGCTGTCAAAACATATCCCAGCTACTTATGATTCACGTGGAACCAGAATAGAAAAAACTCGTACGCGTAAGCAGACAGCTGTCAAAACATATCCCAGCTACTTGTGATCCACGTGGAACCAGAATAGGAAAAACTCGTACGCGTAAGCAGATAACTGTCAAAACATATCCCAGCTACTTATGATCCACGTGGAACCAGGAAAGAAAAAACTCGTACGCGTAAGCAGAAAGCTGTCAAAACATATCCCAGCTTCTTATGATCCACGTGGAACCAGGATAGGAAAAACTCGTACGTGTAAGCAGATTACTGTCAAAACTTGTCCCCGCTACTTATGATTTACGTGAAACAGGTTAAAAAAACTCGTACGCGTAAGCAGAAAGCTGTCAAAACATATCCCAGCTTCTTATGATCCACGTGGAACCAGGATAGAAGAAACTCGTACGTGTAAGCAGATTACTGTCAAAACTTGTCCCCGCTACTTATGATTTACGTGGAAACAGGTTAAAAAAACTCGTAAGCGTAAAAGAGCGCTGCCCGAAGTACTTTTTTTTATAAATGATTGCTAACTATATGAACTCGGTAGAAAACTCCTCCACATGAACAAGTGAATTGCTTGATTGATTAGAATCCTGATATCGCTTGGTGTGGCATCAAATATTGGGGAAAAGGCCAAGAACTTAAAGAAAAGAAGCGAATGCAAACTTATATATGCCATTACTGTATGGTGGCAGAACAGACGTGTAAGATCTCGAAAAGAACAGCGTAAATAAATCCATTGCGCCCATTTGATGAGCAGTTTGTATATCAAGAAGTATGACAATAGCTATTTATTTTGACAAGGCCATCCAAAAAAACGGAAGATTGATGGATAGACAAAAACTCGTACGCATATGCTGTTCAGTTCCTTTAGCAAAAAACTCGTACGTGTAAGACCGGCAATTGGATTGGCTATACAAGGTTTCACAACACAACCACTTTAAAAACCCGCTCAGAAAAACTCGTACGCGTAAGAAAAAAAACTCGTACGCGTAGCACTTCTCTTTAGAAAATTGTCATGGAAGCAGCGAAAGCATGCAAGGAAACAATTCGACGAGACGGCAATGACGGCGACATGTGCCTGCCATCATTTGGCACCCGAATCCGACACGCCGAAGACCAGGTAAGTATCGATTAAAATCTATATTATCCTTCTAACGTCGCAATTTTAGATCATGACCCTGATGCAGAATGTGGATCCTGCGAGACTTGCTCGCGCTGCCCGAAAGCTTGACTTTTCGAAGTGTTGATTTTTTTCATGAATAGATTGCCAGTTCAAGCTTTTTTTATTTGAAAGATACTTTCATGAACGGATCGTCGAGGGCGCATCCTCAACCGTTATCTTGAGTATTTTCACTGAGCATCATCTATATTGTAAAAATGTAAAGAGCTGAGGGTGTCTTCCAGGTGATGATGTCCAGACGGTGGGTGGACGCGGCGGCACGCAGCATGGAGCAATGGGTTGACTAGGTGACGAATCTCAGCCAAATAAGTTTGATCTACAGCTTTTTGAGTGTCAAAGATTTTTCGCATAGCTCAAGAGTGACCCTTTCTGTGGACGTGATGAGCCATAGACTAGTTTGATCGGATGACTGGTAGGCGAGCTAATGGGTATCAATGGGTGAAGCTACCGGCGGTGATTCCTCCTCTTGCATCCTTACAACCAACAAAGTATAGGCCAATCCGTTTGTAAACAAAAAAAGAAAATATGGGATTGATGCCTACTTTCATCGTTTGAAAATGACTTGTCAATCTCTGAAGGTAAAAAAAAAATAGCAGCCATGCCAGTCCCTTTTCTTCTTTTTTGTATTCTTTGCCTGTTACAATCTTATCATGTGCAAAAATGAAATAAAGAACACGACTATCTGGCCACTTTAGCTGTGAACCGGTCACTGGAGACGATGATTGACAAAATGGTCAGTTCAGCCAAGAGAGTGCGGTTGATGGTGAAAGATTTTGCTGGTCTTTCCACCAATGTAAAAGATCTACGGCGCTTCATCAAAATCAACAAGAAGTTCCGAGGTGGTGGTAGACATTGGCCACAAGGTGGAAATATACAGTCGACATGAAATCGTTTCGTATGTTTTTACGGTTCATCTCGAATACTGTAGTACTCAATTGCCTTATTTATTGATACACTTTTGCTTTTGAAGCGCATACTGTTTGGATGGCCCTTCCCAATCCATCAAGGTTTGGATGAGCGTTATTCGCTCCTCCCTTTCGTATGCGTCGTCCGTATTAGCAAAAAGAAAAAAGAAAAAGTAAAAGCGAAGAAGAAAGGAAAACAAGTGTGGCTCTTTGCAGGCACGATCCATTTTCACAATGAAGGCTTGTTTTCGCAGAGCCAGCTCAGTTCATTGGGATGACCCATTTTCCAATCATCGACCCCAGGGTGTGGATGTAAGACATTGGTCTGAACCACTTCCCCTTTTGTATTCATTGACGTGTACAAGTTTTGGAGTTAAATTGTTGATTAAAGTTCGTCTGTCCCCTCCTGGTTTGGACATCAAAGTCCCTCGATCGACGCATTAAAAAATTGAAACATTGGTGCTGTCCCACTTGGTATTGTTGCTAAAATTAACACGGTGATGTGATCCAATTGAATTGTGTTACCTAATAAACAGTTTCCATTCAATCCAAAAAAAAAAATCATCGACCCATTTTCAGCAACTAGGCTCACTGTCGCTAAACTAACCCATTTTGTGTGACCCAGATCAAGCTTAAGGTTTTATCAGTACCATTAACAATAAAAAGTGTTTTATTTTACATTGGGTTCCTATTGACGCAATCGACGATTCGAGAAGCAGAGTACCCAATAAATCCTTCAGGATCTTTGATTTTTACCTGCTGACAAGCTTCAGTAATCCTACCAGACAATGTTTCCGCATCCAAAAGTTTGTGTCGTCTAATTTTGCCTTTGACAATCGCCCAGAATTGCTCAATAGGGTTGAGTTCTGGAGAATATGGAGGCAGATAGGCACATCGGTATCCCCTTGAAACCAATAATTTTTCAATTGTCTTCGACGTATGAATTGGAGCATTGTCCATAACCAGATAGAAGCCTTTCATTTGAGGACATTGATCCAAAATGTCTATTAGAGATATCAAGAAGCAGATGTAATTGTTGGTATTTGTACCAGTGCATGGACTGCTGGCACGACTATCTCTTAATCGTCGCTTCTTGCTTTTTGGTGGATTTGGCTTTCGAAGAGTTATATCCACTACACCGTACGACGAAATCGCCCCAAGTATAGTTGTTGTCTTGGCTCTTGTTACAGGAACAGTGGCGACAGGTGTCTTTCCTTTTCGTGCCCATCCATAAGTTCTTTTCAAGTTGATGCTAAATGCAGATTCGTCGATGAATACGCAGTTTTTTAAAAAATCCTTGTCTGTGGTAGCCATTTCCATTGCCCAGGTGTATCGTTTTTCAATGGCATCTTCGCCGTTGCGCTTAAGAGGTTGTAGATGCACTTTCTTAAATGAAAGTTTGCATTCCTCTTTCATGAACCGGTTAACAGTTGTTTTGTTGATTTTCAGATCTTCAAAAGCTGCTGTTAAACTGTTCATGACATCAGTCACTGTTGCCGTGGAGTTGTCGTCAATAAACCGTGTTACGTGGTCTTTGTGCGCTTCTTCAAACAGTGCCGGCTTAGGTCCGCGTTTCTTTTTATCGGCTCCAGTGGGGATTCTTCTCTCTGGATCTTCATAATATTCCTTTGCCAACCTCTGAGCGACGCGTTCATTCATACCCACTTGTCGTCCGGCTTCTGCCGCATTTAATCTCTTTTCCTCCATAAGCCAAATGACCTTGTATTTTTGCATGTCTGTGTACGTAGTTCTTGTAGGAGTTGACGAGGCAGTTTTCGATTTGGGTTGTTTTGGGTGAGTAGAGCTTGTTGATGTAGCGGTATCTGGCTCCATGGCTTGATCATTTTTTTGATCCTTTTGATATTGTTGATAGCTGCCCAAATTTAAAAGACATTCTAGGACCTCTGCATCGTCTTCGCTCATTTCGACATCAACAGCATAGTGCCCTTCTTCATCATATGCATTGCCTTGACCGTCTTCATACAGAAATTGAGAGCTCATATGATGATAAATCAGAAAGAGTTTCCATATAAACAAAAAAAAAAATAAATCAGAAAGAGAAGCGACTTATTTATTTTATTTTCACTATCTTCTTTATCTGTGATCTTAAACGCAAGAGGGTAACCTTGTCCTGTAACTGTATGCTTGGCAACGATAGAAAACAGATACGCATCAGCCCGACCATTGATGATAGATTTGCAAGTCTTGTGTGTGGCATCAATACAGATCTCATTTGATTTTTGAGCAGCTATAAAGCACATACGCATCTTAATATACGAACATTGTATTATATTTAAGTATATATCTTTTCTTACCAAAGCTTGTCGTGGTGATATCCATGCAACAACAAAAGTAGAATCCGTGATATATTCCAACGTTTGATAACCTTGATCTTTTAAAAAGAGAAGCCACTTGACTACACTTTCTTTATCGATTAAATCTTTTCTTGCTAATCTTGACTGTTGGTTGGCGATGATATTCATGACATGATGCTGCTTCAAACGTAAGGCTTCCGGGAACGGTCCTTCGCCTTCCTCGAGCTGATACCACAGGTTAGCATCTCTACAAGTTATCATCATAGTTTTGCTTTACATGTATAGATGATACTTACATCTTGAAGTTGTTTATCAGAGTCAAACGCAGATGTTCCTGAATTTGATCCCACTCCAACTTGTTATTGACAAGTTCTTCGATCCATTTACGTGTTTCAGCGGGGAGTTGTGAGCGAGTAGCATTGGTTATCTCGGTAGGGTCATGGTGTTGATGTTGCCAGTGATATACAAGTTTGATTTTGCCTGAGAATAAGTATTGAATACGGTATCGAGCACGACAATTTACTTTAATAGATGGTTTTGCAAGTCGACGTTTTTTTATGGGAGCAGGTTCAGTTGAGTCTATAGGCAGAGCAGGGACAGCTGGAGCCGATGTTTCTCTTGAGTGATCACAAAAAAAAGTGACACTACGTTCAACTGTCCGAGGACGGCCGGCATTATTTCGGCGTGCATCTGAAGCCTTGGGTACGGAGATGTACTTGTTGTTGGTGATGAAGTTGGCATGCTGCTTGGGGTTTTCTTTAACCCACTCGTCAAGTTGTTGCTGGTTGTCAAAAGTCTCTGTAACTACTTCGGTCGGGTAGGTGGGAAAGACACGGACAAGGTATCCAAGGCTATCACATAGAGGCCATTGTTGTAGGTGAGCAATTGACAAAACAACAAAGGTACAGTTGCGACGCGTCGCTGTGGGAACTTGAAAAAATTTTACTCTGATGAATAACGAAACCGGCATCGGACACAGATGTGGCCAGAGCTTGTGTGATTGCTTGTAGCCAGTTTTTCGACAATGCATAATAGGCACGGCAATGCAGGTCAGACTCAGATATGACACGACGATAAAGTGCTTGACAATCACCCATCATACCTTTCCTACCAAGAAGAGTTTGGTTGTAGGAATCACCCCACGCCCAGGAAGTCGAGGAAATCCCCTTCTTTACCTAGTATAAAACTAGGCACCAACCGCGAGGCGTTTGGAACAGGTATCTGCTGCTACAAGGCGTGTCAATCAATAAAATAAACAAAAGGAAAAGGAAAAGGATGCCACTGCAAGCTTTCGGAAAAAACAAAGGTCAAGGTCTACGTCAGCAACACGGAGTCCAAAAATGCTTGCAATAAACCCTTGTTTTTTTTTGAATATTGCCTTGACCGTCTTCATACAGAAATTGAGAGCTCATATGATGATAAATCAGAAAGAGTTTCCATATAAACGAAAAAAAAAATAAATCAGAAAGAGAAGCGACTTATTTATTTTTACGCATTGCGACTTGGGCTCATCTGCTGAGTCGACCTAATTTATCACTAAGAGCGACTAAAATTCCATCCAACCAGCGACTTGTATTGTGACACAAATTTCACTCCTTGAACGACTTATGATTTTTGGGGGGACCGCCTAGCTGATAGTAGGCGATACAATGCAAACGATGTACTGTATATCACCAAGATAGATTCCGTTTTGGAGCCCAAGATGAAGATAAATACACACCTTGTTTCTTCTCTCCTTTTTTCTCTCTCTCCCTCTCTCTCTCTCCCACATACACGTTTACCCCCCCCCTTGACAAAGAATGACCATCCCTGCTCAAGATTACTTGCGTACACTCGGTTCGATTCGTGACCGATGCCAACAGGTCTATGAAAAAGCCCTACAGGGCCAGCTCTGCTACTTTGACACGGACGAGACAAAGCTTGACGTTATCGTGGACCACGTCGCAGAGTTGACACATCGACGATTCTCTGATATTAGCAAGATCCCACCTCACTCGCGCCTGCGACACTTGGGTGAAACATACGAAGCGTGGCGAGCCAAGCAAGAGCCTGGTTTAGAATTGGCACGCAAGATGGTGGATTTGGTGATTGTATCGGTGCTGGTGGATGCTGGTGCTGGACAGCAATGGAAGTATACGACACAGACTGGCGAGCAAATCGGTCGCTCAGAGGGTCTAGCGATTGCTTCTGTCGACATGTTTTTGAAAGGATATTTTGCACAAGACGCGACAGATCATGTGGATGGTATATTTTGATTATGCATGAGGAGGTGTGTGTTGCGTGTGTCGGTGTGTGTGGGAAAAAACAACTAAATTTGGGATTGTTTGTTTGTGTATATGTGTATATGTGTCGATGCACTAGCCGGAGGACTCAGCAAACTTTCGGTGGAGCGCATGACGGAAGGATTCCAAGTGTCGGAAGGCAACCCTATGGTTGGCTTAGAAGGTCGCTCGCAGCTTCTAAACCGTCTGGCTAGTGTGATACAAGACCAGCCCACCTACTTCCCAGCTGCTTCTAGTGGCGCCGTGCGCCCGGGTAACCTCGTCGATTACCTTTTGGATGGCAACAAGGACACCAAGACTGTTCCGATTGACAAGTTATGGAAGGCCGTGATGAGCCTCGGTGGCATCTGGCCTGCGCGAATTGAAGTCGAAGGCGTCCAATTGGGTGACGTATGGCCATGCACTTGCTTGGCTGATGCGTCGCCTGCAAACTTGGTGCCTTTCCACAAGCTCTCACAATGGCTCACCTACTCGCTGATCGAAGTGATTGAGTCGTGCCTCGGCATTACCGTTGAGGGCGTTGAACAGATGACCGGGTTGCCCGAATACCGTAACGGTGGATTGCTTGTTGATTATGGTTTGCTTACGCTCAAGCCAGAGGTCGCCAAGCGTGGCGGTGGCGCCGATGATGGCTCCTTACCTACTTTTGAGGGCTCAGATCCAGCCATTGTGGAATGGCGAGCACTCACGGTTGTCTACTTGGACAAGATCCACAAGGCCATGGAAACCCGATTAGGCCAGAAGCTCAAGTTGGCACAGGTCTTGGAGAGCGGCACATGGACTGCAGGCCGTGAAATTGCGGCTAAGTTGCGACCGGATACTGCTGGACCTCCCATTGTCATTAAGGTAACTAGTATCAATATAAACACATGCATCTCTCATTATACAGAGCGCTCATACTGACTTGATTCGCTATAGAGCGATGGAACCATATTTTAAACGATAGCAGTAGATGCACATAGTCAATTGTTTGCTTTTATTCCGCCATGTACAATTCAATAAGATCATCCGAAGCATCCAAATGATCCATTTGTTCCGATATTTCCAGTAATGCCAGCTTTATCACGGATTCCAGCAGCAACAGTGATGGCTGATCAATAGCCTCCTGATCTTGCTTTCCTTTCGCTCCTGCTGCTTCTGCAGAGCCTTGTTTTTCATCCTTTTTATCATCGTCATTGTCATCGTCATCACTATCGTCTTCATCACCATTGGTCCATATCTCCACCGCATACCAAGATGCTTGTTCCAGCTCACTTTCTAAGATCTCTGGATTTTCTTCTTTGACTTCAATGTTGCCAGCATCTTCCTTTTCGCCTTTGTCTGCATCCTTCTTGTCCTTTTTTATGACCTTGAGCACCAGGACAGGTGCTTTAGAATCTTCGATATTGAGCAATGCGCCGCTGCGGGTATAGTACATTTTCTTGATATTCGCCAAGTCAATGGCCAATGTTTCAGGCGATTCGCCTTCTTCGTGGTATCGTCCATCATCCAGACTCTCGATCAGCTTGAGCTCATACGCATAGGATGGAGAGGATGATGACCCAGTAGTACTCTTGTTATTGACTTGCAACTGACATTTTGCGAGATCCTCCTTCCAAGTAAATCCAGCGGCATCCTCGCGAACATTGGCAGCAAATAAGGAGTACAGCCGTAGCCGAAAGACACATTCTCTTGTAGATTTTAATATGGCCGAAGCTTGCAGTAATCTTGAGCTCGATATGCGTTTTTGGCCATACGGGGACTCAAGACTACGTAGCGCCAAATGAAGCGAAGGGACAGAATCATCCACACTGGCCAGCAGTGCCCGGAGACGGGTTCGTACATAATCATTGCTGTTATTGCTCTTGGCGTCCTCCATCTCTTGCGCGAACCTGTCGATATCTCGTTTCAAGTCGTTACACAGCTCCAGCGCTGGCTCCAGATCTTGGTTGCCATCGGCCACGCTGCGAGCAATCATGTCAATGGTCGGTTTAAGATTCTTGATTTTGAGGTCAAATTGGCGTTGCAATGCCTTGAGTTCTTCTGATTCCCGTTTGCCCTTGGGTTGCTGCGTAATGTAGCCAGTGACGCCGCGCTATTGTTTTTGAATTAAGAGAGAGAAATAGTAAGTATCTTGTGTGGAACGATAATGACAGTAAACATGAGAGAAATAATTTACAATGGCAGCGTTGGTGGCGTGACTAATGGCGATTCGAGACACTGTGTTGACAGTGGACATTGCCAGTTTGCCAAACAGATCTTCCAGTGACATTTTCGGTTAGGTGGTGTGCTGCGACAGAGAGAAAAAAAACCAGTGGAACCAAGCAGAACAGTGGGACGATCGATTAAAAGAAAATGCAAAAGCGGGTTTTACCATATCTGGAATTGATGTCAAGCGCATGAGCCTGAGGAAAGAACAGACCAACTTTGAACCCAACAAAAAAAAAGTGCTTTTGTTGGGATCCCGAGTCCTTTTTCTTCACTTTCCCTTCTTTTTTATCTCTTCAGCATCTTCCTCTTTGTTCTCTTGCTGGTGCTCTTCTCTCATGGTCACCGAAACTTTTGATACTGAAGTCGAACCTGGACGCGTTCTGACGATGCCTGCAGATGGTACTGGCCTCGCGGTTCTCGACCCTTGGTTAGATCCTTTCCGAGATGCTTTACGCACAAGGTATATCGACCAAGTTTCATAAGCGAGACGTTATATACAACATGCGCATCCACACTCATCAAATCGTTTGTCATTAATAACACGGCTTGATTATTTAAAGATATGCTCATTTCAAGACATTCGAAGACAAGGTCATAGCAGCAGGTGGTTTCGATTCATTCACAAAAGGTCATGAATACTTTGGCTTTAGCGTTGCCAAGGACGCTACCATCACGTATCGAGAATGGGCTCCAAATGCGACAAGCGCAAGTCTTGTAGGCGATTTCAGTAAGGAAAAACCTGGGGAGGAGGGGGGGATAAGAGCATCCGGAAAAGAGAGAGAGAGAGTACAAGCGGACCATCGGTAAAAGTAATAGATATTGACGATAACAATAGACAAATGGGATGCGGAAGCACATCCTATGAAAAAGATTGAGAATGGGGTGTTTGAGATTGTGCTTGGGCCAACATCGGCTGGTGTACCAGCGATCGCCCATAACAGTAAAGTCAAGGTAGTACAGGGTTTAATTCTCCAAAACGTGTTTTTCTTCGACTAGTACAAGAGGTGAATAAAATACCTAATTGGTTCCCTCTTGTCCTGTTACACTCTTTGCAACAACAACAACAATTAGATAACATTGATGACTCCCGACGGGGAAAGATTATATCGATTGCCTGCATGGATCCGTCGGGTCACACAAGACCTCAGCGTGAGTCCTGCGTACGATGCTGTGTTTTGGAACCCAGATAAGCCATACCTCTTCAAGCATCCACGTCCCCAGCGACCCAACAGTCTACGTGTCTACGAGGCTCATGGTAAGAAGATCAACGCTTGTCTGAGCGTATCAGCCCACGAGAAGAATGAATAATGAACAACTTTGGCTTACATGGACATTATGTATAGTTGGCATCTCGACGTCGGAGCCACGGATAGGCACTTTTGCAGAATTCACTCGCAATGTCATCCCGAGGATCGCCTATCTCGGGTACAACACGATCCAACTGATGGCTATCATGGAACACGCCTACTATGCATCCTTCGGCTACCAAGTCACATCCTTTTTTGCACCGTCATCTCGCTATGGCAGTCCAGAAGACCTCAAGGAGCTTGTGGATGTCGCCCACAGCTATGGTATCACAGTGCTGTTGGATGTCGTCCATTCGCATGCCAGCAGCAATGTCTTGGATGGTTTGAATATGTTTGATGGTACAGATCACTGCTATTTCCACGGCGGTGGACGCGGCCGGCACGATCTATGGGACTCGCGCCTGTTCAACTATGGCTACCTGCCTGTGATGCAGTTCTTGCTCTCGAATTTGCGTTATTGGATGGACGAATATCAATTTGACGGGTTCAGGTTTGATGGTGTAACGAGCATGCTGTATAAGCATCACGGGATCGGCTACGGCTTCTCGGGCGATTATCATGAGTATTTTGGTGACTTGGTGGATGAGGATGGTGTGATGTACCTGCAGCTTGCAAACAAGTTTCTGCATGACATGTACCCAGACGTGATTACGATTGCTGAAGGTAAGAAGCACCAGTTAGCGGATATCACGCCAGTGTGTGCCGTGTGTTTGTTGTGATATATGGTTTCTGGGTTACTGGGTGCTAATCAAATAAAAACTCGATCAGATGTTTCGGGAATGCCGGGATCGTGCCGACCGGTCCGTGAAGGTGGTGTCGGATTTGATTACCGCTTAGCCATGGCTGTGCCGGATATGTGGATTAAGATGTTAAAAGAGCAGAAGGACGAGGACTGGAATATAGGCAAAGTCATCCATACTTTGACTAACCGACGACACTTGGTAAAGCGGCCAGACTTCTTACATGTGTACGAGGATGGAAAAAGAAAGCTAACACTCTGCTATCTCTCTCCAAAAAAAGGAAAAAGCAATCACTTATTGCGAATCACATGATCAAGCACTTGTGGGCGACAAAACGATTGCGTTCTGGCTCATGGACAAGGAGATGTATACGCACATGAGTGACGTGACGGATCGTACACCCGTCATTGACCGTGGCATGGCCATGCATAAACTTATCCGTTTCCTCACCCATGGACTCGGCGGCGAAGGTTATCTGAACTTTGAAGGAAACGAGTTTGGCCATCCAGAATGGCTGGATTTTCCTCGTCAAGGCAACAACTCAAGTTTCCATTACGCTCGTCGTCAATGGAACGTGCTGGATGACCCCTTGCTACGCTACAAGTATCTGAACGAATGGGACCGAGCCATGCAAAAACTAGAAGAAAAGCATGGCTGGCTAGCCGCTCCACAGGTACGTGCACGGAAATAAAGAGAGCGCGACGCGAGAAGAAGCATAAACTAATTTAACCGCCAAAAAAACCGTTGACAACAACAACAACAACAGGGTTGGGTTTCTCGCAAACACCAAGGTGACAAGGTGATAGTCTTTGAACGCGCCAACTTGCTCTTCATTTTCAATCTCCATCCAACAAACTCGTTTACGGATTATCGCGTGGGCACCAATTTGACTGGCAAATTAAAGGTCGTGCTCAACTCGGACGCTCCCGAGTTCTTTGGGCACAATCGTATTGACCCGTCGTGCGAGTACTTTACGACCCAAGGTGACTGGGATGGCAGGCAGAACTGGCTGCAGGTTTATATGCCTTGCCGAACAGCCATCGTTTTAGCTTTAGTTTAGATGTCATGTTGTACGTATAGTGTTTAACGTGTATCATTATTAGCGGAAGTTGGTTGTATGTATCCTACTACAAGCAGAGTTGCACGGTCCAATATACAGTCCAGGAGCTTGAGCTCGGGGTGTAACCTTCCCACACTTGTGTACCAGCAACATATATACTGGGCTTTAAAGCTTGAAAAACCATCATGCAAAATTTGGAGAAGAAAGGAAGGGAAAAGAAAAAGGAGACTACAATACAGGCAGTAGTAGTAGTAGCAGTAGTAGCAGTAGTAGTAAGCGAAAATCAAAAACGCACGCAGGGTGAGAAGAAGTCCCACCGCCTCCCTTCCTGTAGAAATCCCTTTTAATGTGTGCACGGTCACCAACAGTTGGGATGCGTCATCGTATGTTATACGTGTGCGTGGGGATTTTTGTGATGTTGAGAAAAAAAAAGAGAGAGAGACCCATCATGTGGTGTGAGGTTTTTCTTCTTTTGCATTTGATTGCTTTGCCAGGTGAACGCATAAAGATACACAGTTGCATATCCTACAAACACAATTCTTTTCTTTCCTTCTTCTTTTTGCTCATACCACAAGCAATAAGAATGCCATCTTTGCCAGAATCACTCGTAGCAGTCCCTCTTGACAAGAAGGTCCTGCTACCGTCCATTGTCATTAAAGTCACTCTTCGTGGCCGAGAAGCAACTCTTTTGGTCCGCAGGCACTTTAAGCAGCAAGAGTACCAACGAGGTCCTTTGCAACTTGCCTGTATTCCAGTACGGCCATCGCCTCCTTCAATAACAAATGCAGCATCATTGGCTCCAGCGGTGGCGGCTGCTTCAGATGAAGATGTTCCACCGCAAGAAGCTGGTACGGCCATTGTTCCACGGCCAGGCGCTGCACCAGCAGGCTCCCCAAAAGACCAGGAAGAGGAAAAGCTTGTTCCGAAACGAATGCGGCCGTCGCTATTCAACTATGGCTGTACGGGCCGAATTGTTCGAGTACAGCGTCTAGGTACGGGTGCTTATGGTATATTCCTTGAAGGTCTTGCTCGGTGTAGGATCAATGGCTATTCGGAAGAAGAAACAGAGGGCCTGACAACAGCCAAGGTCAGCTACGTAAATAAGAATTACTCATCCGAGCAGCAGCAACAGCACGCCAAGGAGGATATGGCTCGATTCGTGGCGCTAGCGCGTGCGTTTGTCAGCAAGATGCGTGACCTGCAGATACCGCAAAGCTTGGTCGAACAGTTGTCTGCATTGCTGGATTCACAACCCGTACCAGTTATGGCCGATATGCTCGTATGCGTGATTGAAACCTCGTTCGAGGAGAAGCTCAGTTTGCTGGCTACAGAGGATGTCAAGGAGCGATTGAACAAGGCATCTCAGTGGATGACGCGCCAGTTACATGTAACAATTGGTGTTTTGGTTCTTGGAGAGGCAGAGAGGCCGGTTTCTTTTTTCACACAGGATGTTTTTGTTAATGTTTGTTATTGTTATGGGAAAAAAAGGTACTAAAAATATCCGATGAAATACATTCAGCAGTGGAAGGGAGCTTGACCAAGAAGCAACGCGAGTTTTACCTCAAGCAGCAGTTGGATGCCATTCGTCAGGAGCTGAATCAAAGCAAAAACAACAATACATCATATAGTACGTCGGCATCCAATCCGGCAGTACCAAAGCGTCATCCACAAGATGTAGAGGAAGATGATATGACCATGCTTAATCGACGCATAATGGAAGCCAAGTTACCGAACGAGGCCTTGACCGTTGCGCAACGTGAGCTCAAACGTATCCAGCGATTGCAGCCTTCGTCGAACGAATGGGCAGTCGCGCGAAACTATCTAGAATGTTTGGCAGATATACCATGGAGCAAGCAGACTAAGGATATTTTGGATATTGCCCGTGCAAAGAAACAGCTTGATGATGATCATTTTGGTTTGGCTCATGTCAAGAAGCGCATTATTGAATATTTGTCGGTCGCAAAGCTGAAAGGAGATCTAAAGGCACCCATCCTTTGTTTTGTTGGACCTGTAAGTATTGTAAAAAAAGACAAAAGAATGCGTGTCTGGTGCTGGATTACTAAAATGATTTATTATTATCACTTTTTGTGTGTGTAGCCAGGCGTAGGTAAGACCTCATTAGGTCGATCTATCGCCCTGGCCCTCAGTCGCAAATTTCATCGGATCTCTTTAGGCGGTGTTCGAGACGAAGCAGACATGCGGTAAGAGTTTTTTTTTACCTAACCATTTTGCCTTCCAAAATTTGTTAACGAAACTCTGTTGTATTACATAGCGGTCATCGACGAACGTATGTGGGTGCCATGCCTGGTTTGATTATCCAAGGCGTGCGCCGCTGTGGGGTCAATAACCCGGTTTTCCTTCTTGACGAAGTCGACAAACTCGTACACTCAAGCCACTATGGCGATCCAGCAGCTGCGCTACTCGAAGTCCTCGATCCTGAACAGAACGTCAGCTTCAGCGACCACTATCTCAATGTGCCATTCGACCTGTCCAAGGCTATTTTTATAGCGACAGCCAACTCCCTTGACACAATCCCAGCGCCGCTTTTGGACCGCATGGAAGTCATCCAGTTACATGGTTATACCTTTGAAGAAAAGCTCCACATTGCACGCACTCATTTACTCTCCAAGCAAATCGAACAACACGGACTTACGCCAGATAAGATCAGTATCGATGATCAAGCTCTGCTCTGGTTAGCAGAACAGTATACCCGGGAAAGCGGCGTTCGTAACCTCGAGCGAACGATTGCATCTGTGATTCGTAGCAAGTGTGTACAGCTTGCAGATCTGTTGGAAGAAGGGCAAGAGCATCATTATAGCCCCATAGTGATGCTGAAGGATATTCCAGATATGCTTGGCGCTCCACCATTTGAGAAGGAAGCTGTCGAGCGAGAGCCTCTCCCCGGCGTTGCCACTGGATTGGCTTATTCGAGCAGCGGAAATGGTGGTATTTTGTTTGTCGAGTCTACCAAGATGCCAGGCAAAGGCAACTTACACCTGACAGGTAAACCCATTATAAGATGAGAAGCTCGGCCCCTCAATTTAAAGGGTTCAGAGCATCCCGTTTCCCTTTTCTTCCTTCTGCAAAAGCTCTCTAACCTTACACGCCGCATCTGCTATATAATAATCTAGGATCGTTGGGTGATGTGATCAAAGAATCCGCTCAGATTGCACTGACGTGGGTCAAGGCAAATGCGTTCGCACTCAAAATTGTACAGACACAACATGAAAACATTGTCGCGCACCACGATATCCATGTCCACATCCCGTCGGGTGCTATGAAAAAGGATGGGCCGAGTGCCGGTGTGACTTTGATCACCTCGCTCGTATCACTTTTTACCGGATGCATAGTCTCGCCTACGACAGCAATGACTGGTGAAATATCTCTACGAGGCAACGTTTTGCCGGTGGGTGGTATCAAGGAAAAGGTGATATCTGCGCATCGTGCTGGTGTCCGTAAAATTGTGTTGCCGGAGCGCAATCGTAAGGACGTGGATGCTGATGTACCTGCAAGTGTTAAGGCCGATATTCGGTTTGTGTATGCGAAGACGGTGTGGGATGTACTCGAGGCAACAATCGTAATGGCGGATAAGTCAGTATGGCGACCGGTGGAGAGCCATTTGTAGTAGTAGTAGTAGTTATAATATAACTTGGATACAATGTTGGTTGTTCTTGTCTTCTTTTTTTATTATTTTCTATACACAAAAAAAGAGCTTTCTCTCTCTCTCTCTATTTGGTCTTGATCATTCTCAACTTGCCGGCCGAGTACTTGTAGTTGTCAGCATAGGCCTTCTTGACGAAGCTGGACTTCTTGGGTTCCTGAACATAGTAGTTCCAACCTGTATTTGACAAAATCACCCGAGAAGACAATAACATTCAATTAATATCCAACAATCATGATACGAACACTTTTTTTCTTTTTCTCTACCTTGTCGCTCAGCGAACTCAATGGCCGACTCCTTGGAGTAGAACTTGATTTGCAAAGATTGTTGGTAATCGGCACTGGAAGCCCAACCCATCAAAGGGTTTTCCCAACGGTTGGCATCTTCCACAATATCGAAATCAATTCTCCAAATGCGTGTGTTGTTCTTTCCCGATTGCGTAGCGGGCTTGGCAGGAGTGAAAATGCGAACCGAACGTTCCAAAGTCAAAGCCTCTACATGTATGGATTTTTTTGCCACGTTAACAATTGTTCGAGATTTTCCCTATCGTCGTCGTCTCGGTAAAAAGGGGTCGAGAAGAAAAAAAGAAAATCATACCGGGAGCACCGGAGACAGCTTCGACCGAGACGGGCTGTTGTTCGGTACGGGTGACTTCAGAAGACACAAAACGACGACCAGTAAGGTTCCATGCAGACCGAGTGACCGATCGGGCAACGAGTGAGTTCATTGTGAGTGTATGTGTGTTGGTATTAGATAGGTGTTGTTCCCCGACGACCCACTCAATAGGGAAACAAATTTGCTTCGTGATGACATCCGCGCCTCAATCATTGTTTTTCGGCTCCGCTAGGGACAAGGCTCGCGCTGAAAGTCACGGCACGAAAAGAAAGGTAAGGTTATCATCAATTTATACGACATGGATAAAGAAGCACTGTGAGCAGCAGAAGTGCAGTTGCAGAAGGAACAGTTTAGAGAATTTAGGTTATATGAGAGATACAACCAAACAATTAGTTCCTATCTAACCTAATCGCTGAATTTGCGGTTTGTAGGGTCACTAAGTGTACCGTGAATAGATAAATATCAACCACTCTATACTCTGAGTGATCCAGTATATTACTAACCAAAACATGAAGCATTGTCCGGGCTCGGTCTACTTGACGTGTTCGACAACATCCGGATATCACTGTTATAGCACCACATTTCATACATTCATCCAAGGTCTACCGCGATGATTGATCCAGCAGTACGTCTCCATGTTTTTGGCAACTAATAAAGGTACCACAGCCAAGTATAGAGCCGGGGAAAGTAACATAACCAGTACATGGCAAAACCTTTGGATACCCCCTAGTCCCCCAACCGTGCCTCCTCCTCACTAGTCCTTGATCCAACAGTATACCCGCCTATTTGTTTGGCATCATGTTTTGGTGCTGGTTGTATATGATTATTTGATAAGAAACAAAAATATGTCTATATGAACAATCTTTTGTAGATTCAGTCTCGTTTCTTAGTTATTGTGCAAAAGGTCGAATCGAGAAAGAAGGATAATTTTTTAATGGATGTGTGTGCTGTTGTTGCTGTTGTTGTTGCTGTTGAATGTTGCTTTGCATGGCGGAAGGGGATACGTCTTTTTGGACAAAAGGGAAAAAAATCAGGCCATATCATTAAATTACAAGTTCAATTCTTCCTTGGTAGCAACGCCCAATTCCTCTCTAACGGGAGCCAACTCGTCCAAGTATTGCTTGTACTGGTCCTCGTTTTCAGTCTTTTCCTTGACACCTTCAAAGATACGGACAGCCGTAGCATAGTCGTTGACACGGCGCGAGGCTCTCAGGGCCGACTCGACAACAGAGGGTGCGGGCACAAGATCATAAGCGAAGGCGTTGTTAAGACCACGCTGCAACTCAAAGAGATCCTCGACACCATCAAAGAACTTGACATAACGTTCAGTATACGATTCAAAGCTCTCGTCTTCGTGACCAGCCGAATACATGCGGGCACCCATGACTAAAACATTAATCAAATGACAAGGTTATACATCAGTAAATCTTTTCAATTATTCGATTATTCCAATTATTGTTGTTGTTGCTGTCGCTGCTTGGTTTTTTTTTTTTCGAAGTCGCGTCATGTTGAGAGTAATTTACCCATGGTGGCACGACGGGCGACGGGAGCGGTCGAGCGAACGGCCGAGCGAGAGACAACACCAGTGAAGGCAGCGCGAAGCATTATGTATGAAAATGTGCGGAGTGGGGAGAGGTTGGAGGCGTGTTAAAGGAAGCAACTTCTTCTAAAAAAATATAAAGCGGCGTTGCCGGGGGCCAAACCATCGTGACGTAGCGTTCGCAAACCGCCGGATATTTTTTTTTACAAAATCAGCTCATAAAAAGTTTCTTTTCGCTCCACTGAAGCTTCTTCAACTCATTCAATACCATTTTCTTAGACCAAAGCATATGAATCACTTCAACTTCTGCTTTTTTAAGAAGCGTTTGCTAAGTGAGAGTTACCCATGAACCCTACCACGACAACGTAACCATGTACTTTTGTTTTGCGGGTGTGGTATATGCTGTTTTGATCATAAAGTGAGACAAATAGATCGAACCCTTGATGACAACAGTCGAGCAATATCACACAGCATTGATTTGACCTTTTTTCCTCATGTCATACGTATTCATTTTCGAAAATCATTAGCTTGAAAAAATGAATCCACACTCGAACATATGCGCTAGCATTTTTTTCTCTTGATTAATGTGACAAATTAAAAAAATTTAACAAAAGGTATACAGATTATCATCTCTAGTGGAAGCGACCAGGAACAACTGGGTGACTCGCTGACAAGCCGCCATCGACTGCAATAGCTTGACCATTCACGTAAGAAGCCTCCTCGCTAGCAAGGAAGGCGACAACATTGGCAATTTCTGAAGCAACACCGTATCGTCTGGTAGGGTTCAACTGTCCAATCTTGTGTGCGGAGCCCTTTTGACGAGCATAATCAAAAGTACCCTTGGTCATGCCGGTTTCGATCAAACCCTAAATGTACACATAGCACAGTTATTCTACATGTTAGATTTCCTTCCTTCCTTCCTTTCTCTTTCGATCGGATTATTAATATCTTAACGGGGGAAGAGCACTCACAGGACACATGGCATTGACACGGACATCAGTGCCTGCATATTGGAACGAACTTGTTTGGCACAAGTTAATGACACTAGAAAAGATATAAAGATTAGATCAGAATACAAACAGGAATTATGCAAAATTTTGACAATTAGTAACTTACGCAGCCTTGGAGGCAGAGTATTCAGGTGAGCCAGCACCAGATCGAATACCAGCCACTATTAATAAAAAAGAAAAAGAGAATCAGAATTCGTATTGCCCTACCACGACGATTGTTGTGTATTTCCTGACAATCAAAGACATACCGGAAGCAGTGCAAATGATGGAACCACCAGATCGTTCCTTACTACCCTTGCCAGTAATTTGCATGGCAGGACCAGCATAACGGCACGCCAGGAAAGCACTATACACACAAACATAATGTAAACAATCCAATCCACTGCTCTAAAACATGTTGAAAACCTTAAACCACGTTATGATACAACACATACCTCAAAGCATTAATGCGCATCATAGTCATGAATGATTCCTCGTCTTCATTTTGCAGAGTGTTGCCGGTAGCAATGCCGGCGTTAGCAAAGAACACATCCAAACGACCAAACTTGTTGATAGCATCATCAATGATGCCAGTAACATCGGCAGTCTTTGCAGCATTCACGGCGCGCGGAATGACTTGCACGCCTGGATACTGAGCTTCAACGTCCTTTGCAAGTTCTTCGAGGCTGTCAACACCGAGATCAGTAGCGTAAATGACCTTGGGTCCACGTCGTGCAAGAGCATACACGGTGGCACGACTGAATATTAAAAAAAGTAATGAAAAAAGGCTTAGTTAGCATATATTGTACCGAGGCAGAAAGAGTTGGTTTCTCGAGGAAAAAGTTGAGTTTTACCCAATGCCGTAGAGGGAGCCTGCACCGGTGACAATGCAGACTTTGTCCTTGAGAGACGGGCCGACAGCAGCCAAGTGGGCGGCAATCTGACCGACACGATCGTTGGCAGTAGATTGAGACATTTTGCGTTACAAGAGAGAGAGAGAAAGAGTATGTGTGTGTGTGTGTGAAGGTTGTGTGGGGGAACGGGTCGTCTTCCTAAAATAAGGGTTGAGTGAACTTAATGCACTTTTAAAAACTACTTAGTCATTAGAATTAAGATGTGTCAACTCCGTGCTAATACAGACAGACAACCGGGAACTTTTCTCACATCTGAATTCAAGCTTGATCATCATCTTCATTGTTCCGCTCCGAGCCTCCCTCTTCTTTCCACAATTCTCCCCTTTCAAATAGTGTTTTTTTTTATTATGTACATTTGATGTTAATATGCGAAATAGTATGGAGATAGTAGCAAATGAAGATGGAAGGAGAAAAGAATAGAGGTGTGTTTGTGTGTGTGGAATCATTCTTCTACTTGCGCATCAAAAGGTACAGGTGCTCGCCAACAACGATCTTTTGCAAATGTCTATAATCACCCTCCAAGCACATCAATAAGCCGCCAAACGAGATATAAACAGACCTGTTATGAGCAAAAAACACATAAAAAAATCAATACCCATGATGTTGTCGGTATCCTTTGCTCCCTTTTTATCATCCATCGCAACTACAGCACTTTCACACACACGCCACTATATACACTTTTAAAACCGCTTACACTCGCTGTCCTGCCGAAACAGTGCTTGCACCTGATCCGGTTGCAGAATCATCGTATCGGTAGACTTTGCCAAACATAACATATTCGTATTCATCGCTCAAGTCTCGTTCTCCAGGTGCGCGTTCGCGCCAGCTCTCACGCTTTTCAGATCCATCGGCATTGGTGGCAGGAGCAACAGCCTCCAACGAAAGAGTTGAAGCCAAAACCAAAGAGAACTTGTCTGCAATCTGAAGTGGGTAGATCTCGGCATTAAAGTCGAGTTGTAAATCCATTTCGTAGTTTTCAGATCGGGCCACTAATCGAGACACTATATAATATTTGGGAAAATTATTCAAGGATTAAGCATATTTCTACTTAAATTCACGCCGTGATTGCTGGTACAATCTTTTTGTTACGGAAAAGGTAGAAAAGCATAAGGCATACCACGATCAAATCGCTTTCCATTGGGATCAATGTCCTTAATATCAAAAATATCCTGGAACAACAGATTCTCTTCGGCCATTGTGTGTCTCTGTAAGTGTGTGTGGCGGGAAACAAACAAGTGTCAAAGCGAGTGAGGCATTTCCAAAAATCTCTTGTAGAACAGTCACTCTCGAGAGGCAAAGCACAGACCATTATCAAAATCAAGTATGGCATTAGTTATTATCACCAGGCAACCAACGGTTACTTGAAAGCATCATATTGAAACGTGCGTTAGCCAAAACTAGAATTAACCTCCTACAGAGACCATCGTTGATAGAAATATCAAATACTGCATCTCTGTACTATTCATCACTTTACTTCAAGTGCGATGCCATGTTAAAGAGTTAAAATCCGGTTTTTGCTTTAGCTTTCTTACTAACTTTGTAATTAAGATAAAAATACCATATTTTACGACGATACATACACTGGTGGAGAGAAATGCGAAAAAGCATCAACAACATAGTTATATTAGTCTCCACAACCTCCTCCTCCATCACCACCATCACATCCACCTCCTGCTCCATCACCTCCACAGCCAGATGTAGAGCTGCCAAGGCCGCTCTCAACTGAAAACCCCGGGTCACTAAAGCCAAAGTATCTTTCGCAAGCACCGCCACTGAAAATATTGCCAGAGCCGCTTCTGCTGGTTCGGAACGATGATTGTATCCACTGTACGCTTTACCTTGACGATACCTTATATTTCGCGTAAAACAGAGCTCCTTCAATCAAATATTCCAAGTGGATTTGAAGTGAACCTGCGTACGTCCTCCGAGGATCAGTCGACACCTTTTTCAGTCGTTCATTCCCGTTATTCATTCCCTTTAGACTACTTAAGGCGCATGGCCCGATTCATGATGTATCCTCTCTTCATATTATTTCTGTCCAGGTATTAAATTCCCTATGAGCTCTACCTTCGTCATTTGCCGAGAGCCACGACAATTTGACCACTGTACGATAGGAGTATCGCCCCGAAGCATCTCTTTGCAAGTAATGAAATTTTAAGCGTTTTCATTTTTATGTGTTCCAAAATCCTTCATAAAGAGCAGCATTGAAGTTGAATATCTTTCATCCGGTATCAGTGATGACGATATCGTCTATTTTTCTAAATATTGCTATACTAAAACAAGTCCGCATTACGTTAGTTGAGCTGTAGTCGCACGATACGAGCTATATGTAGAATACACGTTCGCAAACCTTACCCCGTGTACTAACTTCCTTTGCAGAAAGAACCTTATCAAGGAAATTTTCATTCAAACATAATGCGTTATAGTTTTTTTCTTTGGATTACTTGTTATATAAGAAAGTCATAATAATTCAAACCCAATATATCCGTATTCAGTAAGTGCCGCTGCCTGATGGCAAACCGAAATAATGCTCCAGGGGTGTCACTAAAAATGGTGCACCGCTGAAATGGTGCACCGAGATTTGTGACTCGGAAAATATGCTTTTTTCTCTTCGGTTCCTGAAAGAACAAAATCTACTGTTCAAAATACAACAATGTCCAAATACATTACCTTTTTTCGAAGAAGATTTGTTAAGGACTCCTATGAAGAGGAGGCTCCCGCCTATTTTGACTCCAAAAGCGAAAAGTACTATTTTCGACAAAGCATCTAGTCCTTCACGACACTCAATCAAACTTACTCAAAACTTTTCGATTTTTGACAGGTACGTAAAACTGAATTTGGACATTGGATGGTCTATGCGCAAGGTTTATGGTCCTCGAAAACAAAAGCACAATATCCATCGCTACAAGAAGAAATGCAATGGTTTTGTCCTCTGCACTAGAGAGGCCTGCAAATTCTATGGCAAACATTTGCGCCCGCGCTGCGATTTTGAACAAATTCATAAACAATGCCAGCTTGGGTGTATGCGCTGCGGAGGCGATTTAGAGCACGTTGACACTTGTAAAACAGAGGCGTTCTACTATTTCGACGGCAGTAAATGCACTGTTAAGCAGATCGGCACACATGACCACGAACGATATACTGCGAAGCATCTATCGGAAGTAGAGAAGGAAACACTGGCAGAGAGAATTCGAAGTGATCCAATGGTGACACCCGAGGCAGCTATTCATGGCAACAACAAGCGAACTGGGGAAATCGTTGAATCGATCATTAAGATCAACCCAATTCTTGGCACGAGGGACAGAGCCGAGTATGAAATCAACAAAGTACGCGAGGAACGAGATATTCCAAGAAAAGGTGAATTTCTCGGCGACTTGGGCAAGATTATGAATGAGTTCCCTGGGTACTTCCTCCACGCCCACGTTCTACCAGGCTCATTCTTTTTGGCGTATCGGTCACCGACTCTTAAAGAATATGTTCACTTTCAAGATTTTCCGGCTGTTACCGATGTCACTTTCAAGGCATTTGAGAAAGGATACTATCTCTGCTCAACAGTGATCTATGTTCCTGAACTGAAAAAACACACAGTGATCTTCCAAGCTGTCCTGGATGGCCTTTCACAAACCTACTTTGCCCAATACTTTTTTGCATTCTTCACAGAGTACAACGTTAAGTTTGAAGGCAACAATTCCTTTCTCGGTATGATGATGGATTTCTCTTTGGCACAAAGGAATGGTTTTCTGCAAGCCTACACACAGTACACCAGAAAGGATGACGGCATGCGGTTCCTAAAAGGGTGCTATATGCACTGGATGCAATCCATTCAACGTCTCAACAGCAATTACAGCATCGTTCTACCCGAATCCAGCGAACGATTTCGTGAACTGAACTGCATCATTCGGACAACTGAAGATGCTGATGAATTTTGCCGTAGTTGTAAGGAACTGGTGACAAATTTCAAGCATACTTTCAAATGGCTCAAATGGTGGCTACAACCATCTATAAGCAGCATGATTTTTCGACATCGCTCCAGCATGAATGACGCCCTCCGCAGCCACCCTTATCGTACCACAAATGCAGTGGAAGCGTTCCATAGAGATTTATACCGAGATACTGTACACAACTTGCCTATATCTCTAGCGCTTCCACAAACGTTGAATTATATCCGCTTAGATGAATTGACACTGAAAAACTATGAAGAAAATGCGGTGCCTGCTTCATACAACAGAGCACCACGACAAACTCGAAAACGATCAAAAAAAAACTTTGACAATGATGGACGTGCTCCGGATGTTTTCGGTAAACTTGTTAATGATGTTACCACCGATCAACAACCACTGGACCATTTTCTTTATGACGACCAAGCTGAAAGCAAGACACTATCACAAGCAGAAAAGACCTCCAACAAGAGCACCATGCCCTTCGCCAAAAGACTTTCGAAAGAGGATATCAAAGCAGTATCACAGCAAGATATCTTGAATAAGATTGATGAACGCGCCCTGCACCTTTTGGATATGAAAGTTGATCCGTTCACGTTGAAAGAAATTGAGACAATGGCTGAGAACTTGGAGACAGGGTCAGACGAAATGATGCAATATATCATGGGTGGCGAGATGAAGAATGAAAAGAAGAGGCAAGAAGTGAAGGAGAAAAATGCAATGAGCAAGACCAAAGAAAAGATGAAGACGGAGAAGAAAACAGAGAAAACGATGGACAAGAAAACTGAAAACAACCAGAAGAAAAGAAAACAACCGGAAAATCAAGCTGAGGACTTATGGCCGAGTAACAGGAAAAGTCTTCGAAGAGAACCATGGTAATTTTAATAGATTATTGGGAGCGATTGACAGTATAACTGAATTCAATTCAATAGTTTCGTCCATCGAGAGATCCCGCTCGATTGCTCGTTTGGAATTAAGCAAATCAAAGCTGACGGATGGTGTTAATATCGTGCCCTTGCTCTCCAACTTCATGGTGACCAAGATCAATATATCAAGGTCAAACAAGCAATTCTTGATCAGCTTTTTGCGAACTATGATTTCTATCGCGATACTCTATAGAACGGACGTGAGGTCATAATGCAAAATGCGATCAAACGAATGGAATATGGTATCACACCAGAAACAGCACAATACCAGAAGTACACTTGCAGTTCGGATTATTGGTTCAATGCGATAATAGATGCCCAAATTGCTGCAGATGCATATACTGTGCCGATTGCAGTATATGATGATCGCTTGGATTGGAACAGTGTTTAATACTTGCCTTTTACTATCCCAAAGGGAACCAATCGACAACCGCAGCCAATAACTCTTTCTCTTAGCTCAAATCACTTTAACGCAATTGACCTCGTTCCATCCAGAGCACTACATAGGGAGTGGCCACCCGTCAGACCTTATCATGAGATAGGTTGGCATCGTCTTGGACTTAAGGCAGATTACAAGACTACATGGCGGTATCTTCATAGAAGACGCTTGACCGAAAACGAGAAACAATTTTTCATAGACATTGACACAAGTGTCATATATAAACAGCAGAAAAGAATTTATTAAATATTACTAAATATCATAAATTTCGGTTTACACAGTGCCAGAGCTAAAGTGAAGTTTGGAAGAGAAATTAACGTATGGGATGCATATACGAACGGTAGAAACCGCAGGAGAGAAAGGAATGATGGGTGCACTTTTCTGGCACTTTGTCGGTGCACTTTTACTGTGCGCCTCGAACCACCGTCACATCGCTGTCACAAGTCTCGGTGCACCATTTCGGCGGTGCACCATTTTTCGTGTCTCTCATGCTCCAGCTGCCAACACCCGCACCTCACGAAAAGACATGCCATCGACTGTCTCAACATGCATTCCCGCTCCCGTGTCAACCGCATACATCACAGCGACCCTTTATCCTTCATTCTCAACCAGCTCCCTTAGTCGCCACCAAAATCAGCCGCACCATCAACCACCTCATAACCACTTGGACGATAATCTGCACCAACCTGGCAGAACTCGACGCTCTACAACACCCGGACTCCGACCTATAACAATACTATGACGCCAACCCCCCTCCCCCGACCGTATGCCTTTAAGAATGTTATCCAAACCAATATATATCACCTTGAAGGACTTGTCTCGGCTGTTTCGTAATCGCCAACTATGGATATTAAGCAAAGAGAATCGTAGCGATCAATGGCAATAACAATTATAATCCTCCCCTCACGTATGCCTTTAAGAATGTTATCCAAAACACTATATATCACCTTGAAGGACTGGTCTCGGCTGTTTCGTGATCGCCTACTATGAATATTAAAGAAAAGAGAATCGTAACAATCAATGGCAATAACAATTATAATCCTCCCCTCACGTATGCCTTTAAGAATGTTATCCAAAACACTATATATCACCTTGAAGGACTGGTCTCGGCTGTTTCGTGATCGTCAACTATGGATATTAAAGAAAAGAGAATCGTAGCAATTAATAGCAATAAGAATTGTCGTGCAATACAACATCAAAACAAATGAGAACCCTCTTGTGTAACCCTAGTCGCGAAAGCCATTGTGTCTTGTAAAAAATCCGTATGTGCGCTTAGCATAGAGCTCTATTATGGTAATATAAACAGAGATCCGTATGAGAAGTTACCATAGAGCCCAAAGTCTACAACGCAGCATGTTGTGTGGTTGGAAAGTGGCTGTACAACCGTCAAAACAGCCAAGAACTGATCAACTATGTATATACAAAAAAAGAAAGTTATATGAATTAGTAGTAATAAAGATCATGGTGGCGGGCTTCTGTCAAAAGCTTGCTTCCCACGCTTTCAGGCTGTACCCTTCTCTTCCTTCTGCCATTCACCAACCGCAATGACTTGAGACTTCTGTTGTCGTTTGCAATGCTAGATTCAGTAATGTTAACTTTGACATTGTTCGTTATAAAAACTAATTTATATATGTGCAGCAAAGAAAGAATAATACTCACACGGCAACAAGAGCACCTTTTTTCGAGTGACGGACCCGCTTTATACACAAAGAGAGGGCATAAAGAGCTTGCTACCGTTCAGGTCGTACCTGTCCGTTCATTCCACCATTCACCAACCGCAATTGTTTGAGATTTGTGTTGCCCTACAGTGTACAATTCCGATTGCAATAAAGTTAACTTTGACATTGCCTTTGACATTGTTCGTTGTAAAAAATACTTTATATGTGCAACAAAGATAAAATAACATACACTTTCGCTGACACCGCGACTCGATCAGCTGCAAAGATTGTTGTACGCAATGCGCGAATTGCGTACTGCCACCCACGTTGAGTGTCTGTAAGAGCACCTTTTTTCCAGTTACAGAACCGCTTTATACAAAACCACAGGCGATTAAATTATACTTTATGCCGCAAAATGGACGTCCGTGCGCACACATATTGTTCTGCTTGCTATACTAGCCATGTAAAACAAAGTCCGCTCCAAAGGCACAGCACTGTAGAAATCTAGAAAAAGTATAAAGCACGTCATGACGTTTTCTGTTGCCGGTATTATTAGTACCTTCCCATACAGAATTCGGCGGCAGTCTTTTTTTTTATGATCAAATATGTATGTTTGTAAAAGAAATGTAATATGAAGCATACTTTCCGTGAAACCAACCCAAACCATTGTATGCTGCCTTGAGGAGATCGACGGCGCCCGTTTTCTATGATCAACTATGTATATAAAATCAGAAAGTACCATCAGTGACTAAGAGTAATAGCAGTCAATAGTACTAAGAACTATAATGCACTCTCCCTCGACCGTATGGTTGAAGATGTCACACCACAACATATACCTTGAGGGCGTAACCACCGGCTGATTACGTCATCGTCACCTACATACATCGAAGAAAAGAAGGTCATATCGAATATCAATAGTAATGCTGTTGCTGGGTACGCTTAATTTATAATAATCATCTTTCATATAAAAAAGTGTCAAACCGTTATAAACGTATCAGTGTTTTGACCACCATAATCTCCATCACAACAACAACAACAACAACAACAACAACCGCAGCAGCAGCAGCAGCAGCGGCAGCAACGCTGGTGAGCAAGAACAGGATTAGAAAGAGCGAGCAACAATAACACCCGCATCTCATACAGTAGAGCTCGCACAACATAGTGCTGAGCCTTTCGACGTGGATATCTGATTATTAGCAGAGGGTTTCGGCGGTTCGTCGAACTGATTTTCTAAATGTTTTATCTTATGGTCGACGGAAGAGTATTGCGCTGTTTGCTGTAATGGAGAGATCATCAACAGGGTTGAGCAGCCCGCAGCGGCACTGTAACCTGACAACAGCTCAAAGCTAAGATTCCCGATTTTTGTGTGAAATTGAAAGAGGTGTGAGAATTGACGGATCCTGCATTTAAGTAAACCGTCAACTCCTATGTATTAAGTACATAAAAATAAGCACTGGCTATGGTGTGCTTGCATTTCGGTAGAATACCTTCGCCACAGATTTTATTATACTATAAAAGAGAATACAGAGCGCAAACACATATATAAATACACTGTGGTAAAACACATCATTACAGTACCTAAATCATCATCGGAATAAGGTACTCGGCTAAAAATCAAGCAAAAGCATACACAGCAATTACCATGGCAATAAGCTAAGCACTGTCGCATAGAGACAATCCAACCGAGTTGTGTAAAGCACGTAAACATTATACTCGGATGATCCAGCATATGTAAGGCTATTATAACCCGATATGGACTGACGCGATATGATGCATAGACGTATGTCATTTGTGATCTCTTAATCTCTTATACGATTATTTACCAAGAAAAGGGAGCCGATGATGCACTCAGAACGGAAGTTTTGTCATCACAAGTTATATTGACGAATTCAAATCAGAAAAAAGGAAAAGTATCTGGGGTATGATAGCGGATAGTGTTATGCAAGTTGTTTAATATGATATCTTATCACCAGCATGACTGAGCGTGTATTGGATTGGGTGGGAGTAAATGTGTGCTGAACGCCGTAGCCAGCGTCTTCTCATACGAGTATATGCCCACGGCAATCAGCGATTGCCGATCGTCCAAGCCCGCAATGATGGATGTGGGCAGCTTTGAACAAATTGTCAAATTATAGACCAGCATGGCTGTTTTCGGTTAATCAAGGGGTTGAAAGGGGCGTGGCGAGCGAAACAAACCATTAAACTGGTTCTCTCAGCTTAGAACAGCTTGCCTTAAGCGCCGTTGTTGCTGGAGTCCATACCCTCCCAACAAATTCTTTCCTTTCGATTATTTCGCTAGCAGAACTACGCGACCACAGAAATGTAAAAAAAGGAAAGGTGCAAAGTGCATTCCAAAGTGTGATAAAGCGCGTTGTGATCGTTTTACTGTCGTCTGTCATTGTTCCCCGCTTTGTTTAGCACGGAGCTGTGGATGGGCAAAAAAAATAAGGAACTTGTCGTGCACATAAAAAAAAGGCGAAGCAAAAGCGGTAAAACGTTTATAAGAAGAGTGCGAGAAGAGAAAAATTTGTTTATTGTGTTTATCATTTTCTTATTTGTGTGTAATAAATAATAAGTAATAATAATAAAAGCTCGTTTTAATTATCCCAACATATACCGTTGGCATCACATGCACCCGAAGGTGCACGATCGGCCGGAGTATATGACCACATTCCCACTGATACATTGCAAAAGATTTCCTATGACCGGACCACTGAATCCGGCCAATCCTCAGAATCCTCTTGACAATCCCCAGCACAAGCAATGACCCGATCATGGCACTACACAGTGAATCTGTACTACAGATCAAAGCTGTACCAAAACGAACTGAAGAGAAGAGAAAAAAGAAAGGCGAAATTGCTCGCTTTATATATAGGCAGCCAGGGGGACCACGGGAAAAAGGCTGAGACCAGGACCGACAGAGGCAAGACCAGGACCAAGGGAAGAGCCAGAGCGAGGGGAAGACCAGAACCAACGGAAGAGCCAGAGCGAGGGGAAGACCAGAACCAAGGGAAGAGCCAAGAGAAAGACCAGGAGGATCCAAGGGAGTGAAGGGAAAAGAAAAGTGAAGGAAAGAAAGAGTGAAGAGAAAAAGGGAATGGCCTGAAAAATGTGGGCGTATTTACATTTTTTGAACTCAAACCCCTGTCTTAAAAAAACACGTCACCTGACTTGTGATTCGTCATTCAAAAACATGTGAGAAAGCAAAGGGTAGGGAAGAAAAAAACATGTGCAGAAGAGACATGGTCAAGCGGTCAAGCGGTCAAGCGGTCAAGAAGAAGGCGTGTGTGATTTGCGTGTATTATTGTCCTACGAAGGTTTCCACCGGTATCATGCAGGGCGTGTCCCGACAACGTCGCCGCTTGTTTTCCAATAGGAAGGTACGTGCACCCCGTCAAGCCAGAAGGTGCACATAGGTTTCAGCAACACATCCCTGAGGAAAAGTAAAAGACAAGTGCCAGGAATGGTTGAAATTGTGAGAAATATTTTATCAACAGAGATTAGTGGTACTGTGACAAGATGCTTACATAAGAAGAAGCCACATTACTTTCGTGCCGAACTGAAAAGACTGTCGCCTTTTTGTATACGAAAAGAAGCGTTCGAACTAAAGGATAGTTGCTTTGATGCAATGACTTTTAAAAGAATGATGCGCACTGTTATCATACCTTCCTCTTTCTCTGTGATTATGTCGTCACTGAGGTCTGGTAGCAGTTGTAACAGCCACATCAAGGTACATGCTCTACGTATGTGCTTAGTATGGATTATAATTCATATGTACAGTCCAAAGCGTTGCCAAGCGGTCTTTTACAACAACTGGGCAAAGCAAACCGCCACAACGGTTGGATTAACTCTATCGCCTCGTCTCAATCACTAATAATACACAAAGTACGCGTAAATTAGCAGACAACTAACCAAGATTCAATATGCTCACGACACTTTACGACGGCTCTACGACATTACGTTTCGCAATGAATTGTACTTTCTCAAGTCAAGCAGCAACAACAGCAGCATCAGAGAAGATGACAATGTCAAGTTTAAAAGAGATTACGCGATGGAAGTGCGTCAAACAACTTTCTGGGCAAAGTAGCTTTGAGTGCCGCGGCGAAGTTCTACTCTCCATGCTGCAAAACCGAATAACCACGCCACCACATCGCACCATGGTTAATCCAACAACGGCCGAGACTTTCTACAATGGCTCACTTATCCCATCAGGAAGCTGGATACGACATTCAGCACATACTTACTCCAAACCAAAAATGATGTATATTTCGCCAACACCTTGCGCGAATATATCGTTATCATCCGAAGCTATTGTTCACCGGCCCAATATCGACGCGGTACAAATCCAAAAGTAATCTCGTATTCAACATAAGCAACATTGACGGTAGACACTGTACCGAGACCCTTTGATCCCTGGCTTGAGCTTGGCGCTAACCAAAACTAGTACATGCCCAATCATTCTGATCATAAGTATTTTTTTATGGTCTGGAGGCAGAACTTATTCCCAACAGAGTGTCCAGAGGAGTGACGGACTATTGGGTGTGAATACATGTATGAGAAAATGAGGAACAGAGAAGTGACGGAAAAGAGAAACCTATTTATATGTGCGGTGATAGATGGCAGTGGCATGAGCAGCTACTGCCTGCGGAATGAAAGGGTGGCCTTCGAATATGAAAAACCAATGTGCTGACCAGATCGCTTGAACGATGGCGATGCATAGAAGAGTGGTTTTGGGTTGGGAGCAAAAGCGACGTGCGAAGACAGCAGTCTTCATCGCATGTGCGATAGCCGGCAGGCGTGGATCGGCACTGTGAAACGGTGCCCGAACCAGCTGATGATAAGTATTGATTAGCTTGCATAACACTATCCGCTATCATCGCCCATCCGCTCGTTTCCACCTGCCACTGCCAGGTGCCTTTTTTTTTTTGTGACAAGACATCCATTCTAAGTGCATCATAAGCAGACCTTCTCTTTCTAAATTATCGTAAAGGATATCAAGAGATCACTAACGACATACGCCTATGCATCATATTGCGTCAGTCCATACAGTATCGGCTTATAGCCGCCCCTCGTTGTACAGGTGTAAGATCTTCCATATTCATGATATAATCGCAATCGTACTGCTACTGCTTAGAAAAGCTGGATAATCCGAGTATAGTGTTTCCGTGCTTTACAATTGTGTCTATGCTACAATGCTTAGCTGGTTGCCGTGGTAGTTGTCTGTATATACTTTTGATGTTAACCAAATATCTTATCTGATGATGTCTTTGGACAGTGTAATAATGTGTTTTACCACACAATGTATTTAAAAATGTGTTTGCGCTCTGTATTCTCTTTTGAAAAACTAGCAACGAAGGTATTCTAGCGAAATGCATGCACACCATAGCTAGTGCTTATACAGTATGTAGTTAATAGGACTTGACGTATACGTATTGTAACAGTGCATATTTTATTCGGTGTAAGTAGTTTCATCAATTGCTCCATAGTGTTGGGATACAGTAGTAGGGTGATAAACGTAGGTTGAAAGAAGTTGAAGATATAAAAAAGTGTCAAACCGTTATAAATTGCGCTGATGAAACTGTGAGCGGTCCTTGCTTGATCGTAAACTATATAGAGAAGAAGGTCATATCGAATATCAATAGTATTGCAGGGTACGCTTCACTTATAAAATAACGATACATTTCAAAAAAGAGTGTCAAACCGTTATAAATTGCGCTGATGAAACTGTGAGCGGTCCTTGCTTGATCGTGAACTATATAGAGAAGAAGGTCATATCGAATATCAATAGTATTGTAGGGTACGCTTCACTTATAAACATCCATCACGATTCCCACATTTCAAAAAAGAGAGTGTCAAACCGTTATAAATTGCGCTGATGAAACTGTGAGCGGTCCTTGCTTGATCGTGAACTATATAGAGAAGAAGGTCATATCGAATATCAATAGTATTGCAGGGTACGCTCACTTATAAACATCCATCACGATTCCCACATTTCAAAAAGAGTGTCAAACCGTTATAAATTGCGCTGATGAAACTGTGAGCGGTCCTTGCTTGATCGTGAACTATATAGAGAAGAAGGTCATATCGAATATCAATAGTATTTCAGGGTACGCTTCACTTATAAACATCCATCACGATTCCCACATTTCAAAAAAGATTGTCAAACCGTCATAAATTGCGCTGATGAAATTGGCAGCGGCCGTATCTTCATTGTCAACTATAAATAAAAGGTCATATCAAGTACCAATAATATATTGTTGCTACCCCCTCCCCCTCACGTATGCCTTTAAGAATGTTATCCAAACCAATATATATCACCTTGAAGGACTGGTCTCGGCTGTTTCGTGATCGCCAACTATGGCTATTAAAGAAAAGAGAATCGTAGCAGTCAATGGCAATAACAATTATATTTCTCCCCTCACGTATGCCTTTAAGAATGTTATCCAAACCACTACATATCACCTTGAAGGATGTGTCTCGGCTGTTTCGTGATCGTCAACTATGGATATTAAAGAAAAGAGAATCGTAGCAATTAATAGCAATAAGAATTGTCGTGCAATACAACATCAAAACAAATGAGAACCCTCTTGTGTAACCCTAGTCGCGAAAGCCATTGTGTCTTGTAAAAAATCCGTATGTGCGCTTAGCATAGAGCTCTATGGTAATTTAAACAGAGATCCGTATGAGAAGTTACCATAGAGCCCAAAGTCTACAACGCAGCATGTTGTGTGGTTGGAAAGTGGCTGTACAACCGTCAAAACAGCCAAGAACTGATCAACTATGTATATACAAAAAAAGAAAGTTATATGAATTAGTAGTAATAAAGATCATGGTGGCGGGCTTCTGTCAAAAGCTTGCTTCCCACGCTTTCAGGCTGTACCCTTCTCTTCCTTCTGCCATTCACCAACCGCAATGACTTGAGACTTTTGTTGTCGTTTGCAATGCTAGATTCAGTAATGTTAACTTTGACATTGTTCGTTATAAAAACTACTTTATATATGTGCAGCAAAGAAAGAATAATACTCACACGGCAACAAGAGCACCTTTTTTCGAGTGACGGACCCGCTTTATACACAAAGAGAGGGCATAAAGAGCTTGCTACCGTTCAGGTCGTACCTGTCCGTTCATTCCACCATTCACCAACCGCAATTGTTTGAGATTTGTGTTGCCCTACAGTGTACAATTCCGATTGCAATAAAGTTAACTTTGACATTGCCTTTGACATTGTTCGTTGTAAAAAATACTTTATATGTGCAACAAAGATAAAATAACATACACTTTCGCTGACACCGCGACTCGATCAGCTGCAAAGATTGTTGTACGCAATGCGCGAATTGCGTACTGCCACCCACGTTGAGTGTCTGTAAGAGCACCTTTTTTCCAGTTACAGAACCGCTTTATACAAAACCACAGGCGATCAAATTATACTTTATGCCGCAAAATCGACGTCCGTGCGCACACATATTGTTCTGCTTGCTATACTAGCCATGTAAAACAAAGTCCGCTCCAAAGGCACAGCACTGTAGAAATCTAGAAAAAGTATAAAGCACGTCATGACGTTTTCTGTTGCCGGCATTAGTACCTTCCCATAAAGAATTCGGCGGCAGTCTTTTTTTTTATGATCAAATATGTATGTTTGTAAAAGAAATGTAATATGAAGCATACTTTCCGTGAAACCAACCCAAACCATTGTATGCTGCCTTGAGGAGATCGACGGCGCCCGTTTTCTATGATCAACTATGTATATAAAATCAGAAAGTACCATCAGTGACTAAGAGTAATAGCAGTCAATAGTACTAAGAACTATAATGCACTCTCCCTCGACCGTATGGTTGAAGATGTCACCAACCACAACATATACCTTGAGGGCGTAATCGCCGGCTGATTACGTCATCGTCACCTACATACATCGAAGAAAAGAAGGTCATATCGAATATCAATAGTAATGTGTGCTGGGTACGCTTAATTTATAATAATCATCTTTCATATAAAAAAGTGTCAAACCGTTATAAACGTATCAGTGTTTTGACCACCATAATCTCCATCACAACAACAACAACAACAACAACAACCGCAGCAGCAGCAGCAGCAGCGGCAGCAACGCTGGTGAGCAAGAACAGGATTAGAAAGAGCGAGCAACAATAACACCCGCATCTCATACAGTAGAGCTCGCACAACATAGTGCTGAGCCTTTCGACGTGGATATCTGATTATTAGCAGAGGGTTTCGGCGGTTCGTCGAACTGATTTTCTTTTCTTTAAATGTCTTATCTTATGGTCGACGGAAGAGTATTGCGCTGTTTGCTGTAATGGAGAGATCATCAACAGGGTTGAGCAGCCCGCAGCGGCACTGTAACCTGACAACAGCTCAAAGCTAAGATTCCCGATTTTTGTGTGAAATTCAAAGAGGTGTGAGAATTGACGGATCCTGCATTTAAGTAAACCGTCAACTCCTATGT